ATTCTGCTTTTTATTTTTAATTATGTCCACTTCAGTCTTCCATATAATATGAGTTTTAAACATTATTCTGATAATCAAGCTGCTTAAATATTAATGTTTAAATAAAATAAAGGCATTCATGGCACACAAAGTTTTGATTCTGGTTCTATTTGCCAAAAACCTTTTTTTTTAACTTTGTCACCACAAGATGGTAATACAACCCAGTAAATTATTACATATGTGAAACACAGATCCATGTGTGTTACAGTTAAAACTCAGTGTGTGGTTACACTTACATGAATACGACCGTGTTAATCTTTTAGCTTTGGCTTGTCTGATTTCTCTGCACCATCTGTTGGAGTCTTGATAAGAGTAAAGCTTGAGAAACAGAACTGTGTAGATCACCAGAGAAATCACACCACCCACTGAAAACAGAGACGACCACATGAGCTGTTAGCAACATTTATTTAATAAAGTGTACGCGTGTATGAAAACTGATCCTATTTTGTTTGTCTCACTTTTGTTTTAAGGTGCTTTATGGTGGATATTTAGGCAGAAGATCCATTTTTTGAGTTACCATGAGAATACACAGGCACAAAAAAGTACTATTCAGGACTTCACAGCATTGTTGGCTGAATAAACTGTAGACTCATTTAAGTCAACATACCCGGGGTCATGGAGGTCACGGTGAGGACAGAGGCAGAGGGAAAGATCAACAAAGATGTCAGGTTGAAAATATGAAGAATCCATCCTGTAGTTTCAGAGATTGTTCCCTAAAATGATCACAGATGAAAAGTGTCGGGCTCATTTTTAACTAGACGAAAACATAAATTTTCGAGTGACTATAAATCAAATCCACTTTGTTAAGTTTTACAAACATTTCTACCAAATCAGATTATAGACAAACTGAAGATCTGACTCCCACATTTAAACTGCGGGTCATAAATGTGTTAATTAGGTTTTAACTTTCAAAATAATTACAGTATTGTAAAGGCTTACCACGGCCAGACGCCTCTCTATATACAAGGCTGATAAGATGAACACGTTGGACACTAAAACAGAAATGGCTCAATGAGAATCATTTATGCAAAGATTTTAAGAATTACTCTGTAATTCGTTAATTCTATTATTCAGAGAATAATAGAATTAGTTATTTGTGATCATTGAAACGTTTCTTTAAACCATTGAGCATCTGGAGCATTAAAACATGCCTAATGAGCCACTATAGTAAGAATATCAAGTCAAAGATTACTAATTCATAACTTAAGTAGCTTGATTTTAAAACAGGAAACGCAGTTTTCTTAATTTTGCTTGAATCTTGGAGTGAGATGTGAGAAACAATCGTTGATGCTGAGATCTAACTGCTCAGATTATATTTGAAGTGATTATTTTCCTAAATTAATAAAGTAATTTGCATAACTTTGAAATGGATTTGTTGGCAGTAGAATCAATTTCCCACAATCTGGTTTATAATAAAAACTGCAGAGAGTTTAAAAACTATTTTTTTTTCCTGCTTCTTCAGATTCAGTCTTATATTTTGGGGAAGTGAGACCAGTTTTCACTTGAGACACAATATGAATGTGCAAAACTGAAATACTTGGATATTTCCACATGTGACCCTAAATTCATCTTTGTGCCAGGTGTAAACAGAACAAGAGTTATTCATTTTTCAGTTATATTAATGCACTAAAACAAAAAGGTTTCATACCAATAATGAGGCAAGCTGCGGGCCAGCTGTAGGGGTCCTTCAGGAAAAGAGACACCACTTGAATCGGATCTACTAAGATGCCATACCTGGAGAAGGAGAAAGGAAATAAAAACAAAGACCATATTACCAATATAAGGTTGTAAAGTTACATTATGTACAGTTTGTAGATTTGGTCTGATAATTATGATAAAATTAAAACAAGATGCTTTATACTCGAAATGAATGATTTAAATGTGAAATAGAAGGATTGAAAAGCATGACATGCCTCCTTTAAGGTGCACATTGGATAAAATGTAAATTAAAAAAGGTGTGTATTTGTGCACACTCACTTGATAATGTTCTCCAGGAAGAGCCGTGCATTACTAAGCACCTGCAAATACAAACAAAATGCCCATCGGCAAAACAAATCAAGTTGAAGAGTCAAAAATAGGAAATAATTTGTGGAGTTTTTTCAGATTTTTTTTAACYAAGTCTGAACTTTAAGAAGCAAACAAAATGCTTATCTTGAAATGTGGCTTATGTTTTCCTTTTCTGTGATCTGTGTTTGTGATTAGCCTGCAGATTTCAGCACATGTGAAGCCAGCTGTCAGCAAGAACAGAAAACAGACTAAAAAAAGAACAAACAGTCTCTGCCCCCTAAAAAACACAAACTCAGGTGAGCAGCTGAGAGAAAACCCATCACGCCGAGTYGCATCTGAGCAGATCAGATCTGTTTCACGCCTGACGCAAACGTGGCAACACCTTCATGCTGCCGCTATCACTCCTGAACTACTTTCACATCCTGCTGCTGCTCCCTTATGCTCACAAAGAAAATCTGTTTATGATTATGTTTTGCATTCAAGTTCAAGGTCTGAATCCAGCGTCAGTGAGATAAAACTAATTACTCACTGAACCTTGAAGGCATTGCTACATCTGAAACCAGATTTTGCAAAAAAAGATTTGCATTTTTTGTCTTTGTTTTTGAAATATTTCTACAATGTTTGTGTCTTTTCTATGCTTCMTGTTCAAAGAAAGGCCAGCTGGAGAAGTTCAGTGCAGTTAACAAAACTAGGAGGAAATAAACCAAAAACACTWTTGTGGTTGGTCTAATAAATGGACCAATGGCACTTAGTAAAAAGTAATTTCTTCTCAGTGATTTAACATTATTTTATTAAGACTATTTTCATCAACTTGTCCTGTTCCACTAAAGAGCTAAAAGAGTTCATTTTTTCCCACCTAAAAACATACATTTTACCTCTATAAAAACATTACGATGACTAACATGAATTTCTTATTAAAAGGAGACATATCATGCTAAATGCAATTTTTTTGCAGTTATAAACTATTTTTTGTGCAATTATAGTGTCTAGGAGTGTGAAAAACTTTAATTTATTCAGTCCAGTTACTGCAAAGATATTTTTATATTATTTTAT